GGGAAAGAGAAGCGACGTACCGAAAACGAAACCCTAGCTCTTGGAGAAGACAGAAGCGAAGGATGACAGAACGCAATCGCAGCGCAGGATTTTAGCTGCGATTAGAAAATTAACGGTTGCGGGCGACGGGGAGATAGTGAGAAGAGAGTGATCGAGAAACGAAAAGGGGATTTAGGGATTCAGATTTTGTTTTCCAATTTTTTTCTGTTCTGGTTTAAATAATAAACCGAACCGGGTCGTTTTAATAGACGTGGCAAGTCTATGTGGACAATTTTGATGACACGTCTTGCCATATCAGCGTTGAAATATGCTATTGCTAACGAAGTTACGTAATGCTTTTTTGGTGACATGTCGAAGTCACGTAATGCGTAGTTTTTTTTTTATGTAACGTAATGCGTAGTTGTGTATGACATTGTAACATTTTGTTCAAATTCGTGTTGGATTTTGAAACATTTTTATTTTTTGTGTAGGAATATATCAAATTAAAAATTGGTGTAAAATTTTGATATTTTTTTGAAATTGGTGGTGGAATATGCTATTCTCCCTTTTATATATATATATATATGAGTAAAAAATCCAGCATATATGTGTTGTACACTTAATGTTTTTGAATGCGCGTGTGTGTATATTGCACGAGATTAACGAGGGGTGCAAGAAACTGCTAATTCATGTTTGACCGAACAGTTCGTACAACACTTACTACTCATATATTCATCATAGGTTAAATAAAATGGAGAATCATCAACCGCCCACCCACTCTTTTTCCCAAATCTTCGGCGACAGTGTAAGACAATAGCAGGATTTCACAATTTTATACAATATATAGTCTCGAGCAAAGCAATTTGGATGTAACGTTAACCATATTTATAAATATGTGCAATCACACCTCATTGACCGAACGCCACTCTCTGGACAAAATCTGGCCGTCTTTTGGTTGGCATCCGGATAAGCCCCGCAATCTGAAGCTCCGTAATGGCCCTGCAGAATCTAGCTCTGTTTGAAAGCGGTAGTGTTAAGGGCTCTCTCACCAACACTCTCCATCGATTTTTTTTTCTCTTCCAAAGAGAAAATGAACATAGATTTATTCCCAGTTTCACTCGAATTCAAGAGGCTACCCTAGTTTTGTTCAAGGCCATAGATAGCAAAGAGAGAGAGAGAGAGAAGCAAAGGATACTGAATTAAAGATTCTGCTGGTGCTGCTGCTGCTTTGGGTTCGGCTGTATCCTTCATCCTCTTCTTCTTATTCTTTTGAGGAGATGCTTTCGGGTTTTGTCTACCTTTGTTACTAGGCGGAACAAGTATCATTTTGAATGCTTCGTACCAGTCGTGGAGGTTAATAACATCTGCATGCTCTTGTGCTAGTTTATACCTTTTCAGATAAATCGATTACCATTAGTTCTATTATGCTCCCTTTTACCTTCACGCAAACAGTTTCAGTAATTGTATCTCAAGGGGATGCTATGTAAGGATTTGAAGTGTGGCAAAAAAGCAAGAGAATACTCACATTATGGAGGTATCGTGCATCGAAGGCGATACAGAGCTGCATTTCTTGCTGCAGCAAGAACAACAGAGAATCTTGTGGAATTCCAGGAGATCTAATTGAATCCTGCGTCTCGGGTCGCCAATTAAAGCCTAGAAATTGATTGAAAACAAAGGGTCGATGAAAACAGTCAGTACATGTGAAGTCGTCTCAAGAACCAGTAGAAGCAACACCTGCATTACTACTCAGATGGTTGTTTCGCTTTCATGTTATTTGGCTACAACTCGTTGATCCTCAAGGATACGTCTCTTGATCAGCCAAGTTGGGAAATCTCATATGGAAGTAGACGTGAATAATTTTTTTTAGAAGGAACAGGGATGGATATAACAAATACTTACAGATTGAAGTTTATCGACATTCTTGAAACAAACAATTTCATGGAAAGGATGGCTCTCAACTGGCTTCATGTATTCCCTGTTCCATACAAAATAAAAAACGTTGTGAATTTACAAAACAAGCATAACATGGCTGACCTGATGTTAAATGTTAACATGCTATTTTTCATGGGTGAACAATGCAGATGTCAAGTGCCTAGGAAAACTCCAGTTCTCTGTAGAAAAAAAAGATAGAAAAAAACTACCTAAGCATGAAATCCATCAGTGAAGCAACCCTCTCAGTCATGGCTTCAAGTTTTGAATGGCTCCGAGATGCATGCTTTCTGTCACATCAAAGAAAACCTATTGTTCAGTAGCCGACCCAACATCTTGCCAATGTAGAAGGAAAGATAAGAAGGATTAATAAGATGGAACTAAGAAAAAAAATACTAAGTACATTCGTAGATCTTTTATCATAACAATAAATAATGAAAAAAGAAAAGAAAAAAAATCTGACCCAACTATGGAAAAATCCTTTTACGAAGATCCAATGGAGCAAACAGGAATAGTACAAGGTAGAACATATATATAATGCGAAATTCATATGCTGTTTTCCAATTTGAATGAACAAAATATCTTGAGATTTACTTTGGACTGTTCAGAAGTCCTTGTCTCAGAGCTGTTGCTTCGGCAGATTTCATTGAGGACAGCAATTCCTGTACCTTGTCATGGATCTAAAACCAGTGAATAGATCGAAAAGTAATTAGCTATGTGTCCTGAGCCAAATATGCAAGCACTTCTTCAACATTGAGGACGGGCAGAGTATCACATCAATGATTAAGAGCTATCCAAGATCTGTGTTGGACGATTCACATATTTTGAATGCTCTATCACACAAAAAGTAATACAAAGATAGCCTTGATAAATGTCTTCCAATAGTTACCTCACCAATCTCGACAGTGAGGTGTTCCCATCTTTTCACCAATGCAAACAGCTGTGCAGGTGAGAGATCCCTGAAAAGAGTTTGAATGTAGCAGCTTCATAAACATCTGAACACAAACTCCTTAGGATATATTGACAGAAGCTCTAAGTTGCCAAAACTTTTTCATCATGTAGACATTCTTTAGAGAAAACAAAATGCCTACGTATTATTTTTTCCCCTAAGAAACGTATCTTTTTTTCACCTTACTCCTAAAAGATAGAACTACTTGACCATTGATTTTGTAAGCATATCCTTGAAATATGATTCCACCAAAAGGTGTATGTCTAAATTCTATCCCTTCAATCTTTGCTGCCAGAATCTATTGCCAAAAGTCATGAAAGAATGGGCCATCATTACATAAAAATGTGTTTGTTCTTTATATCCACAGCTTACCTAAGTTTGAGCAAAACCCGGCGGATGAAACTACCACGTGCTAAGCCATGATTATGTTGATTGAGGTTTGTTGAATGCAACATTACAGAATCCTGAAAACCTGAGCTTGCATCCAATGATGTCAAGTGATGTGCCTCTGGATCAAGTGCCTCACAGAAAATGTCTAGCAATCGGAGTTTATCAAACTTCCCAGCTTCATATATACACTGCAGGGCAGTATATAAAAAATCTACCGATCAATTCATAAAGAAGGAAAACTGATTTTATCACGAGGATGAAGATGCATCAAACTTTCTCACATTTTTCTGTAATAAGAAAAGCATGGTACGCATGAAGAGTCAAACACCTAAATCAGCAGAAAAAAATCTAACTCCAGAACAGAACATCCCATAGTCTACATAAGCCAGAGAAGATTAAAAGATCTGAAAAAAAAAGCAGATGAATAGAACTCACATGTCATTAGAAGGAAAGAAAAACGAGTTTGGGAAGAGCATTATATCCGATTTTGTAGCTTTTTATCATCAACAACAGGGCCATTCTGTTTATTTCCATGGTAGTCCTCTATCTAAAATATTAAAAAAGAAATCCGAAATTCTGTAAGAAACTACTCCAAACAACGAACTGCAACGAGAAAGAGAGCTCACCAAAACCACAATTCTCCAAGGATTCTGCAATATCCGCAAGTCTGACAAACCATGAGCCAGAATTTCACTAGAGCTTCTGGTAATTTTTCCCCTAGCCAAATTTATATAATCAAAAGTCAGTGCACCTGATTTCCTATTAATCACAAAGATCTATTTTCCCAATCCATCAACAACAAGGATTAGGACTCCAACCTTAAAGTCATGGAAATTCCATTACGCTAAACTAAATATCAATGGTCCTTCCAGTGTATAAATCCAATTACAGAAAAAAAAATGAAGATGCTGGTCCTCTGAAGTACCTCTTGACCGATGGCAAGCCAAAGGCATGCTTTATCATAGCTTCAGTCAATAGTCCATTAGCTTCACCTGTCAATAACTTCAAACACAAAATCTGAGCATAAGACTTCGCATACACAAATATAACCACACATTTTCTAATGCAGAATGAGATCATGCATTTATGACAGCAATATAGTGGCATGCTATGGTACAATTAAATTTACAATGTATTGTAGTAAACCGTTTGGCAAAAATGTATACTACTCTAGAAGTCTAGATGGCCACTGTAAAAATGGACTTGTTACAGAAACTTACCACCATATGTCCTCTGTTCTCCCTTTATAAACTACTTATGACCTCTATGAAATATATAGAATTTATTAACGTTAAGCAAAATACAGTTAGAATAGATGTAGATAAAGGTGCTAAGCATACCTGATCACAGTCATCATGGAAAAAGTGCTCCAGCAAGATGCTTAAGGGCTCCAGCGAAAAATGCTCAAGACAAGCTATCTGAGGAACAATGTATAAAAAAGGGACAACCATAAAGTTAGTGATGTAACACAGTTATACGGAGAGGTGGTAAGCACCAGATCGACAGGGATAAAAAAAGTAAAAGATGTAGTATAAACCTTGAGAGCTCTAACAAAAGATGTCAGTGTCCCATCTAGACACAAAAGGTAACTTCTCATAAAACGTGCCACCTTGTGGCTAACGATGAACCCGGAACACTGCTTTAATATTACAGCTTCAAGAATGGCATCCATTTGTTCTGCCGGAGAACTTAGAGTGAACACACTAGCACAAAGCCGCTGCAGAGCATTCACGGATAGTACCTTTCTAGGTGCATCATGTGTTGTGGACGCACCCATTATTAAACACACAGGAACTTTGACTATCCATTCACTGAATTATAACAAAATAAAGAGCAAGTTACCAGCAAAGCTTAATGAACAGAAATCGATGAATGTCTAGGAAGAAGTGTTGCCAATTAGAGATAAGGAGAGGGTTTTTCATCCATACTTTCGCTAACCGTCTATATGATACTTTAAAATTACTTCCAAATCCAGAAACCCATGTCTTACTTTATTCAAGTTACAAATTTACCTGCTGGATTTTTGTTAGAGTAATCAAGAACAGATGTTCAACTACAAAACAGGATGAAGGCAGTCCATCAAATCCATAACTCAGGCCTACATCAGCAAAAGTCCTCGACAGATGCAAATGTGTGACATTACTGAGAGTGATATTGAATCAATTTCAGCGACACTACTATCACTATTAACCCAGCTAAACAGCTTTTACAGCAATTTATTTGGTATAATAAGAGTTTTTTGAAGAACTAAAACTAATGTCTAAGCCACATTTTTATCTAACACGTTCTCCACACCAGGATAAGTATGAATATTTAAAATTCTGATTCCTGAAATAGAAGTCAGGATAAGTTTTGGTGTGGCTGTCTGTGCAGATTGAACGAAAGAAAATGCAAAAAAAAAAAGCACATGCTAAATACCTCAACATGAGAATCAAATCTGACAAGACAGACCCACAACATCTCTCTGTATCATCCACAATTATAACTACAGGACTGCTGTTAATGTTCTCTCCATACCATGATGCAAGGATGGTTACATCACCAACCTGACAAAATGTTACATTCGGAACAAACAGAATCAATGAATTATTATCAACAATCATTAAATTAAAGCTACATGGAAAGCTAAGCAGATATTCTTACATCAATGGTCGGTACCACCAACTGTCGCAACAAGCTTTTAAGACAACCTCCTACTCCATTCTTGGCCGAAATGTCCATGGAGGAGAGCTTAGCCACATGACATCCTTGAGACTTCAGATGCAAACCCAGTTCTTCGAATGTCAGCAAATCATCAACGATTTCCATATTCCCTAGCAAACAATTCTAAAAAGATAAGCAAAGTGATTCAAAACTAGTTGCTTTTGAATTTTTCGGAAGCAAGTTTGGCTATTCATCTGTAGTCCTGGACATCATCGAAATTTTACAAGCTTGGGAGTTGGGACAAACATCCAGAAACATATCTCACCAACAAAAATCTGACATCCTAAAGTAAATGCCTAACAAAACACTAAGATTTCATGACTTACTGGTGAGGATCAAAGCAGTATACAGTTGTTTGGAAGCAGCCTCTGTTAAAATCGGAAGTGATCTGACTCCTTCAGACACCGTTGGTGTTCGGAGTGATCTGATAGAAAGGAAAGATTTGTGTACCCAATTCTCGATATCATTGAAAATCTTGGTGTTCAGATCTTTTAACACATCCTGCAATTAGGACCAACTGGATGAGGTCTTATTTCGGAAATTTAAGGTATTAAACTAATAATTCAGTATATTTTTGTAATCTTTCCTATACAAATGCAGCCAATTTGTAGTAGAAGGAATAAATAACAGATTCAGACAAACACACATAAGAGGAAAAGGATCGAGAAGACCGACTCTGATGGTCTTTTCAATCTTCGACCAGACGGTCTCGAAAACTTCCAATCGTAGTTTCGAAAAAAATTGGTCGTCGTCTTCTTCCACACTTTCAACCTCGGATTTCTTGGCACTTTTAGGGGGCGGTGAATCGATCCTTCGCTTTGTTCTGACAGTCCCTATCGATTTCCCGTCTACGTTGCGAGACGAAGCCTTGTGGAGGACAAAAATTGGCTGTCATGCAGAACCATCGTAACCACATGAAACAGGAAAAACTCGATACCACTGTGGCAATACGATAATGAAAGTCTAGTTTCAAAATTTTAAATACCGCCGATTTCCAGTTTAAATTTCTCCAGCACCAGCACCAATCAGAAAGATCGGAGCTTGGAGAAAACAAGAAAAAACGCTGAAAATTTGACGGAAAGAGAGAGAACCTGGAGATCGCTCTCTGACACGGCGGCATAATCTCCGACTTCGGCAGTCGACGACGGCGAATGGGAAAGAGATTTGGGAGATCGAGAGAGGACGATTCCTCTTAGGGTTTACTACGCTTCTGTCTCGAGCTCTCTTTTTGGCGGGAAAATACTTGGGATTAGATGCGGATGCATAAACCGAGGAAACCGAAGCGAAATCTGGGAAACCGGATAGAACCGGTCTAAAATAAACAAACCGAACTGAAAGGAAAACATTGAAGGTCAGAATTTTTGGTTTTTTCATGTTGTCAAAGTCTCAAAGAGTTGAACAATGATTTTTTCGTGTACATGATCTGCTGTGGATTTTTTGATCCACCACTTTTTATATAGGAGTATAGGTGCTCTTGGCTCGACATTTTTTGTTCTATTTTACTAAAGTCTTTTTCTCTTTTATCTAGGGGTATCAATAGAATTCGAAGTCCGACCCAAAACCTGTCCGAAAAATTAATGAATTGGACCTAATAATATAGATTCGGTAAATAAATTGGTCCGAAAAAAGTTAGGACCGAATCGAGTCCGGTCCGAAACCCATCCGACCCACCCATTTAGTCCGAAAAAATATTATATTATTAGATTTTTACTTTTATTTGAGATTTAATACCACACGACATTATATAAAAACTTTTATTTGTATGTTATATATATATATATATATAACCTAATAATATAGATTCGGTAAATAAATTGGTCCGAAAAAAGTTAGGACCGAATCGAGTCCGGTCCGAAACCCATCCGACCCACCCATTTAGTCCGAAAAAATATTATATTATTAGATTTTTACTTTTATTTGAGATTTAATACCACACGACATTATATAAAAACTTTTATTTGTATGTTATATATATATATATATATATATATATATTTCA